TGCCGTGTACACATGTTTAATCTACAGGGTAAAACGGTGTAGTCATTGATTAAATACAATTTCTGATCCTCGACTAAATAGTTTGCTGTCCCTACTAGCCCACTGATTGAGTAATTCTTTTTGATGGTATTTAAGTGATCTCAGTGCTCATCGCTTGTGTTCTTGGAATAACCCCTTAGGTATGCTCGATACTAAATATATAAAAGATAGAAAGGAAATTCATAAACATTTGCAAGTTTTTAAAGAGGCATTAGCTACTATTTAGACAAAAGGTTGCAAGTATTAATAAAAGCAGAATTTTTAAATACTATTTCGTTATAGGCCGTCAATTTAGCCCACATTTGTCAAAATCAGCTCAATAACATCGCTGATGTATTACTGAGTTGAGAGTAAATAATATAACCTCAGGTGAATCCGTATTCGTGTGACATTCAATCTAACTCCTTAGCTAGAGATGGGTTACGCATGCACTAGGCTTGTTCATCTATTAAAAGGAAAAGAATGTCAACATTGAAAGTGAAACAAGTGAACCATTTGGTTGACTGATTCGATCCACAAAAAATCATTCTTATACAGGTAAAAATGGTGATTGACATATTGTTGTAACCTATTACATGAAATTAAACAGACCTAGAAAAATCCAACTGCACGTTCTCGCTATCTATTTATATATATATTTATGTTTATATCGGGTTATATGACCGTCGGCAGTCTTCGGAGGTCATCTCGATGGTTAATGAGAAGGCGTCTTGACTTTGATACACACGAAATGCTGATACATATTATCGAGTCAATGCATTGTTAGTTGTTTATTTTAGACTTTTTGTAATTTTGATATACGTTTTAGTATGTTATAAAATAAATATGAGAATTGGGGCCAAATCGGTGAACATGAATTTGACAGCTTATACCCCTTTTAACAAACAAAAAATGGCTTTAAACAGAATAATCAACCTGTCTATAATAAATTTTGTATTATGAACTATATTTTTAGATTAAGTTGACGGTATCTTTTTTTTTTAGTTTAGTTTCTTAGTCTAGACCCGCTTTTAATCGATATCATTGACTTGTTAGAGATTCTTTTTACGTAAAGTTCTTACGATCTATACCCTCTCTACTACTCGCGTGTAGTACAGTACTTCGAATACCGATTGTTTTATGAATACCTAAAAATAATAAAAAGTTACCATTTTTTTTTTTTTAATAACTTTCAATCCACAAGAAGCTTATAAGATGAACTTACCTTTTTCTGACAAAAAGCGAAAATTTGCGGACTAAGATTGTCCTCGATAAACCGAATGACGCCCTTGATATTTATACTTTGCTGTCATTTATCATGAGTACGTGCATATACGATTCTGAATCTAAACATAATGAAAATAAAAATCTGGTTTAATAACTATATAATTGTGATTTGTTTTAAAACAAAATAACACGCTATAACAACAAGGCAATTTTATTTGCTACAACAAGGTTATATATCAGAAATTTATTTCACTCAAATGGACTTTAAACTTGTGGATCAGTATTGGTTAAAGGTAGTATTACGTTTGTAAATCATTTTTCTCTTCTTTATGCACCCAATTTCACTGCATAAATGTCGTGTGTTATTCTATATGACCATTACAAATCTTTACAAGACGTTAAAGAAAAAATCTAATATTTAATTTGAATGATACTTATACTTACGATGTTTTATGTCTCCCTTTAAACGATATTTTGATTTGGAAAAACTCTGAATTTAAAGACGGATTTTTGCAATATCTAGTACTATAACAAAATGCATGCACAAATTTGGTATCCACCCATCACAAATAAAGGGCTTTGCATCTCGAAGCCTTACATAATAAGACTGTAAAAATGACCTAACTGATCTCTAAAAAATATAAAGTAACTTTTCATAAAATTGGGATGTTTAGCTAGCCATAAAATTAGGTTTAACCCGCCATTTATTTCGGAAAAATTACTGTTTTGAGTCAGGAATAGGACAGTTGTTTTCCATTCGTTCCGTTGGTTGATATGGTCGCTCGTTTGATTTTGTCATGTTTTTGGACTTCCCTCTTTTTTCACTTTACCTTGGAGTTAAGTATTTTGTTAATACTTATTCTTATTACCTTATCGTCTTTTCTACGCATTAACAACAATTTATAACACGACAATCATAACTATATAAAATCAAAATGTACATTAATTCTATTTTTATAGTTAGATATCTATTTATGGATTAGCGTAGCAGAGGTTTTTGGCAATTTCTTTCCTTATACTAAATAAAGGACACAAATTGAACCGACAACACTGAAAACCGACATTAAAGCAAAAGCAAATTCAACAGAGAGCGCGAAGATCGTTTATCGACACTTTAGGTCATAACAGTAGAATTCACTTTAAGTGTTCATAAATTGTAGTTTTTTCGTCACAATTTACTGGATATACATGTTGTTATACAAATTGAGTGAATCACTAAGTGACAGAAAAATAAACATGTATCTATAAGTCAAAGAATCAATAACAGTTAAACATCCATACCATATGACAAGCTATAAATAAACATAACCCAAAACAAATTGTGAAGAAGTTAAACTAAGACTTTAAACATCTTCCATCACCACAAAATTCCAAAAGGAAAAAAGAGCAAGAAACAACCATTGACAAAGTTTCCCTAGTATCAAGATAAATTGAATAATTTAAAATACAAATAAAATTCAGTTTTAAAACCATTATGAGCAACATACAGCACTATGACAGACACACAAGACCACAGGTACAAGAATAGCAATATCAGAGTACTCTATCTGCTGATACATAATTCATTCGTGTCTCTTTGTCTGAGTTTTTAACATTATGTTCCATTTTCAACAACATAGCTTTAAACATTCAGAGCATTTATAACTAGTTAGGTGCATTTATAAAAAGACATCATCATATAATATCTACAATACATTTAAGCTTATATGTTGAATTCTTTTTTCTGCGGGTTAATTGAATGTGGGAAAATATAAAAGCAAAGGTCTGGTATAGTACGAACTGGTTTTGTCTTCAAAGATTTGAATTTTGGGTTTGCGCATTTTTAAATGCAGTTTATACATACAACTACTGCAATATAGCTTTTAGGTATTAAGGAAATTTACAATCTTTTGAATCATTGGATCATAGTACGGCCAATTTAGTATTTGTTTAACATAAGACAGTAAACAGGAAAAAGAAATATGGTTTTCACATATATTAAGGTCACTTGGCTTACAGATATATGTATATATTTAAATAACTGTACTTTTACGATATGTTATGTCTACCTTGAAATGATATCTTGATTTTCAAAAACACGGGATTTAAAGATTTATTCTAATATTGCAATATCTCTTTTGATCTCTTGTTTTGATATTGATATCTCTCTTTTAGTCGTTTGTAGTTTTTTGCTATGAGGTCAGTTTTTCTTCTTCGACTAATGAGTTTGAATATCCCTTAGAGATTTTTCGTCTCTCTCTTTTAGACCATAAACTTGCAAGTTCTTAATTAGGTATCCCTATATATTATGAATCAAACATTGTTACATTATGTTATTTTAACTAGGACTAAGGTGCAGCATATTAGATTTTGAACCTCAGTATACTGTATGGTGAAAAAAATAAAGAGGCATTTGCTACGATTTAGACAAAACATTAAAATACAATGTTTATTATTCAAACAAGTATAAAAGCAGAATATTGAAATAATAGTCACTATCAACAGTCAGTTTGGTCTAATTTTATCAATACAAGATAAAAACATGGCTGGTGTACTATTGGCTTACAAGTTAATAATTCTACTTCATTTGAGTCTGTATTCATGCAACCTTTGAAAATAGTTTGATCGTCAACTGGAAAGTGGTTACGCATGTAACAAGCATGTTCAGTTATTACGATAAGAGGAATGTCAACATTGAAAAGTCAGACAAGGGAGCAACCTAAAAGAATAATGTCGATTACTGATTCGACCACCAAAAATTCATTCTCTATACAGGTAAAACGGATTTTTCTGTAATTTGGATATTCGTTTTAGTATGTTATAAATCGGTGAACATGAATTTAACATCTAATGCCCCTTTAAGTCAATGTCATACTGTACAATTACAACCAAATAATGAAATGAATTTACATCTGTTCAATGGTACGGAGAAAAACAATTTTTAATATGACGGCTTTCATCAATTGTGGGTTCGTATCTGTGGTAACATATAAATTAGATTTATTAAATACGTTAATTAGGTAATTAGTAATTTAGTTACACAAATACTTATTGTACTATGTCGGCGGTACCCCTGAGGGTCAGCCCGAATTCGAATTTGAACAATAGTAGAAATCGAAATTTTTACAAAATTTTAAACTACGAAAAACTTTACGCACATTTTAACCGATTGAGATTAAAGTTTGTTTTTTTTTAGATTCTGTAAGCATGTCACTTATTCCGTTTTCTTTGCATTTCACGACACTTATTGTAGTGTGTTCAATTAAATGAACAGCAAATAGTTTCCCTGATTTAGTTAGTTTCGAACCAATCAAATACATAATACTTTAATTGTCCTATTAGAATAGAAATCATTTATGTGGACTTGAATTATTTCATGAATTAACACATAAGTGTTAATGATATATCTTTAGTAAGCAATGTTAAAATTATTCTCCATTTGTTAATCACTAGATGCTGTGTTATAGTTTTATTGTTTTGTACGATTGATGTATCATTGACACATCCCCTTCTGGCGTCTGCTATCGTACAATATCAGCTGTACTATTTCAGTCGACCACTTATAATTATTTATAAAAATAAGATATAATACTAATTTCATTGCACACAACACGTGTTTCTAAAGCAACTAAACTATACGGGCCAAAATTGAACAGCCAATGTAAAAAGGGGATGTCGTATGATAAACAATGAGGCATCAAAAAGAGTCTAAAATCAAGTTTGTTTTTGGTAGTTGCTACCTTTTAAAATACAATTACATAATCTATTATCTTAAGTATGATTTATAACTATTTTATTTATATCTTCTGTTTATTTTAGATAAACATCTCTCACAAAATGATATGTCGATGTGTAATAGTATCTGAGTATATATTTGAATAGATTAGCCCGTGGTGGACTTTATTGACGGTTCTACCACTAACCAAAACAGACCGTTTAACGTATAAAAGTATTGTTTTTATATCTTCCGTTTATATTAGATAGAAATATGATAGTACTTTCATACTGTTTGAAATATCCTCATAAAATGAAATGTCGATGTATAATAGTATCTGAGTATGTAGTTGAATAGATGAGCCCGTTGTGGTCTTTATCGATGATTCTATCACTAACCAAAACAGACAGTAGTAACGTAACATTCTGCTCTCTTAGCAATTTGTATATGGATTCACCATGAATTTTACACGGTGTTGGTCTTTGGCGTTCTGAGTAGATCTTCTATAATCCGAAAATAATGCCGTAGAATCATTGTGAACGGTTTTCTTAAAATTTTTAGAACAGGACTTCTGGGGATATTTCTTGAGTAGTCGTCACATAAGAACATCATGATGAGCAGGCACGTTTCAAATGATAATACATATCCAAGAATATGCTACTGATGGGATATCAGAAAAAAAGGTTGAGATTCAGCATAACTAACTAAGGAAACTGAAATGTTTACGTCAGGAGATTGAATCGGATCGTCTCTTTCGTTTCTCGAGTATATCTTGAAGTCTATTGTCTTTTGGTGTGAGAACAAATGTCGTAGATGTAGATCGTCTTCTTGGACATGGCATAGTCGATCTAAATCCTCCTCGCTTAAATTTATTGTTGCTTTCGGCGTCCACTTTTTTCTGAAGAATAAAGTCAATTTGTCATGCTTAATGTAATGAATTTAATTTTAATATAAAGATAAGGAGGTGTGGTATTATTACATAACAAAATTATCCACCAGTTCAAATGTAGTGGATAGAATTCAGTTGTGCTTCTGACACACCAAAAAATATGATATGTTAACGAAAGTGCGTTAAAGTGGTACATAACACTACAGGGAGATAACTCTATAAAAATTTGCTGAACGTTTTAATCATGTTCTATTGTTAGGGAAATACTAAGCTTCTCAATATTCAAAATTAGTGTTTGTCAAACTGCTTTATATCCAATGAAATTTTTCCGATAAAGTGTGTGGTTTAAGTTTTTTTAAATTTTCATATTTTTGTCAAAGTAAATATTTTGTCAAAATTTTATGAAAATTAAACGAGCCAAATTAATTTAAGTCAAGGTGTTTCGTACCATCTTTAGCAAATATCTTTGATTTCATTTAAAAGTAAAATGGCAAAATAACCGAACTCCAAAGAAAATTAAAAAATCCCTTTATCAAATGGCAAAATCAAACGCTCAAACACATCAAACGAATTGAAAACAACTGTGATATTCCGGACTTGGTACAGGCATTTCCTTATGGAGAAAATGGTAGATTAAATCTGGTTTTATAGCTACCTAAACAGATAAGGTCACTTTTTATTCAATGATTATGTATTTTTATTGTAGATAGATATGAATTTTTGCAAATAACGTTTTAGTGCATATATGTGTACAATATACTACGATTGACAGGTATGAAGTCAGTAACAAGGATTAGGTTTAGGATTATGCTGTCAGAATATATACCTGAATTTTGTCGATATTTTCACACATCTCTCGGCAACATTTGAACAACTCATCAACATTCATATTCTCTATAGCAAAGTGATCTGCAACTTCTTGGGATTTTCTCTGTTGATTTTCCAACTTTTCACTTATATTTTCGATTTGACACTTCCCATTCTAGAAAAAGGACAAAATAGAGTAAAATAGTTGAATAAAAAAATAATGACATTGAATAAATCACAGCAACTTTTCATATCTGCAAAGGAATTATGATAATACGACGATCAGTTCTATATGAGATACTAGTTTTGTTCACATATAATATAACTGAACCATTTAAAACATGCAATGAGTCGGTTGTAGATGGTTGTTGTGATCAGTGATAATTTCTAATATTTTTGATGATTTCTGTTAACCTTGTTATGTATTATACAACAGAGAACTGTGACGTCACTAATGACTCTTATGTAGAGGAAACGTGCGTCTGGCGTATACACTAATAAGCCATGTATCTTTGATGAGATTTTTACAAAATATTAGAAATTTGTATCATTTTAGAATTATACTCGGGAAAAAATATGTGGATAGAAAAGTCGAATGCGAAAGCTCCATTGGTCGTACAAAACTCTGAGATTTGAGAAAGCAAATGTTATCTATTACGATTAAGGATCAAATGAACTTTTAAACATAGCTTCAATTTCAACAAAACTTTCGAATCATGACATAGTTTCTCAATATTTCTTGATTTAAGTATGATAAATTCGAGGAAATGAGTATATGGTGCATTGCATGTTGAAAGCTTCAAAGACTTCATACATATTATGGGGAAAATATATTTAAATTTCCGATTTGATTATATGTTTAACGACGTACAAATTTTATGAAGAGGTGAATGAGGTAAACACCGTTAAAGTAGCAGTGCGACGATATCAATTATAGCATATGTAGAGGTTATCATACTGTTGTAAATGATGAAAAAGTGCCCAAACATTTTTTTTTAAAATCTTATTAAATCCTAAGCTATTCAAGCAATTTTGTGTGTACCTGAAAGAACTCAAAACACTGATCTTTTATCAGACATGTCTCTGCATCAACTTTTTCTTGTAATTCTGTAAATTTCTTTTGTATTGCGATGAATTCGTCTGTAGCTTGATGAAGTGGACAGCTATGAAAGTATAAACAATCAAATATATGTAAAATGTTTTGAACAAAATGAGAGGATGCCTTAAGGAGAGAATAAACAACTTTCTTTTGCACCACTAACCGTGTTTGACCTATTTTGACCAGAAACTTGGTTAAACCGTATTTGGTGTTAGTTTCAAGATTATAGGTTTATAATTTTCTTCAGCTTGGTACTTGATTTGGCTTTTCCACTATTTTGATTGGAGAGTCAGTGATGATCGAGTCTTGTTTAGATGAAGCGCATGTCTCGCGTGCGTACCAAACTATACCAAATTATAAGCAATTAGGATGTTTTTTCTAGTAGTTTCCTGAACCGTGCGTGTCTTGTCTCAAGTCAGTAATTTCTGCAGTTCGTATTAATCAGTTATATCGGTATGAACTAATGTTTGCTATTTAGATATTGCAGGTGAAGTGGATTTTAATTTTTTTTAACGTTAATGACAACTTCTTAAGAATGTATGAACGAAGGCTTTTAGAGAATAGAACATTTTTTCTTTGGCTTAATAATGTCTTAGTGTGACATCATTAACGCTGCGTTATCAGAGAATATATTCCCAATCGAAGGAAAATTGGCTGTTTTCAGGAATACTTTGACCACATTGACATAGAGTAAAAGATATCCAAAGATAAATTTGCATTCAAGTATATGATCGATACATAGATATAAGAAGATGTGGTATGAGTGCCAATGAGACAACTCTCCATCCAAGTCAAAATTTATTAAAGTAAACCATTATAGGTCACAGTACGGTCTTCAACACGGAGCCTTGGCTCACACCGAACAGTAAGCTACAAAGGGCCCCAAAAAATTACTAGTGTAAAACCATTCAAACGGGAAAACCAACGGTCTAATCTATATAAAAAACGAGAAACGAGAAACACTAATGAACCACATCAACAAACGACAACTACTGAACATCAGATTCCTGACTTAGGACAGGTGCAAACATATGCAGCGGGTTTAAACGTTTTAATGGTACCAAACCTTCACCCTTTTTCTGAAACAATAGTGTAACATCACAACATAGAAAGACACACTATAAAATATCAACTGAAATAGCTTAACTCAATCAAAGGACATATTAACACCATTGAACATACACTGAACAAATAAATTTGACCTATGACACAATGTAAATACAAAATAAATAAACTAAGGGAAGAATAATAAAAGTAACATTTTATATCGGTAAGAAATGCTAAACAATTAAAGAAAAACAATATGCTCGAACAAAAATACCATCCATTTGCAATAACTTTAAACACAGGTAAATGAAAATAATTTTGTTGTTAGGTATACCTGTACAGTACCAATAGAGAAAGGAAATATTTATACAAAATAAATAATTTTGAATACAAAATAAAAAAACTAAGGGAAGAATAATAAAAGTAACATGTTATATCGGTAAGAAATGTTAAACAATTAAAGAAAAACAATATGCTCGAACAAAAATACCATCCATTTGCAATAACTTTAAACACAGGTAAATACATGTTTATCTCTTGGGGCAAGGGATGTGCTAACCATTATATAATTCTTATTCACATTTCAAAAAAAATCATAACATAATAAATGTATCCAGCCTCAAAGAATCAGTTTAAATAAATTGAAAATGAAATAATCAAATTACCGTTGAGTGTGTAACAGAGTATCATGAAAATCACGGACAAAGTTTAAGCATGTTGAATCTGACTTGAGTATTTCATGAACCAAAAACTCAAGCAAGGTAACCGAATCATCTGTAGACTTGGTTTCTGATAATTTCTGCAGTGAACATAAATCAAATCCAACTGCTTTTCCAGCAACTTTACCCTGTTATAAACAATAATAATATATTACAAAATGACATTTCTGTATGCTAAAAATGAAATAAACTTATTGAGACGAATACAGTCAAATAATAAAATTAAAAACTTCATAAAAGTTTTCCCGTGTTAGAACATTTATAAAGCTTATGGAAATGCTAACATGTTCCTATTTGCCGTGACAAAGGAAAACTCAGTGTTAAGTTTATGTTGTATTAAAAGAACAAATTAAAATTTTCTAATGTCAATGACACATGGCATGCTTTTATTTGTTTTTGTGGGTTTATTTTAAATGTGTGTTTTTGTGATTTATTTTTATATTTGTATGGGTTTTTTAAGACACGAATTATTGTATAATGGATAAAAAAACGTTACTACACCACAAAGAAATTGTCAGTTTTAATATCAAGCAGCGCTGCTTTATTTAACTCGCAACTAAACAAAAAGCAACATGTCTTTATGTTAAGTACCTTGTTCATAAACAGTCCTACATGAAGTACATATCGTAGGAATGTTTCAAAGGATTCATTGGTCATCAGCATATCACAAGCAGTAGAAATAGTCTGTACATAGTTTGGGATATAGTCGAGACTCTCAATTTCTCCTATTGTTATCATTGTGTTGATCCAAAGTTCATAGTGTGGTAAACTTATCAGTCGAGAAATAAAGTAGTCGGCTTTACTCAGTTTCTTTAATTCTTGTGGTAAAACCTCCCGAAGTGAATCAGCCTATAAGTATAATTTATGTATACATACAAAAAAAAATAATGTAAGATAAAGAATTAGTAATGGTCCATAGAAAACTTTTTTTAATATGAACCTCAACAAAAATCTGGCTGAAATCAGATGGTCCAGAAAGATAGTAGGCAGTTTCTTGTCCAGTAGTAACACTCGTTGTGTGGTTCATGGAAAAGAAAAATTAGATGTAAGAAAAGAAAAAGATGACTGTTGCTGCAACAAAAGGAACATATCATCAGTCATCGAAGAGACAGAGTTTTCTTTATGTTATATTCATGCTGTGCTATTAGAAAAAAAAAACCCAGGTTAATTTTAGATTTTTGTAGTTGGTTCCATTCAAACGGAGTTTATTAAAAAAAATTAAAGTACAGTTTTTCGCACTTGTTTTTAAAGAAGGAATGTGTTTATTTGTTTATTACTATCATTATAATAGTTTACAGTTACTTTTTAACACATATAATGCCTATATTTGATTTATAGTTAAATTCTATCTGACTTTGATTGCTGTTTTAAGATTTTTTTTCAGAATTGTGGCACGTGGGACATTTATATATATAGCCAATGATCATCATCAAATATTACTGTGGCTAATATGGGAGATTACCAATAAAAATGGTTGTTTCTTTTCTTCTATATTTTTACTTTTTTTCTGTTACATTCGTTTCTACTAACAGAGGTGCACATATCATATATATAGTTTTTTTATTTTAAAAGAGATGCGAAAGATAGCAAAGGGACATTTAAACTCACAAGTCAAAATAAACTGACAACGCCATGGCTAAAAAAGAAAAAAATACAAACAACAGTACACAAAACGCAACATAGAAAACTAAAGACTGAGCAACACGAACCCCACCAAAAACTGGGGGTAATCTCAAGTGCTCCGGGAGGGTAAGTGGAATCTGCTCCACATGTGGCACCCGTCGTGTTGCTCATGTTAGTACAAACCCGGTGATAAGTCTTAATCGGAAGGTCACATTCGAGGAAAAGGGAACGGGATTGTAGTTACTACAATTGAAACATATTCGTTATAAATAAATATAAATAATTATAATAGGTAAAATATCCAGTACCTCATCTGTATTTGGTAAATTCTCTTTCAAAGATCGATAACTTGAAAGTCCTAGTTCAGCAGTCGATCCTTGTCTTATCATTTCAATTAACTCGTCTGGGGACTTATGAATTTTATTCAAGAAGATATCGATCCTCATTGCTTTTTGGCAATCAACTATATTCTAAAAATAGATTAAAAGATAAACATTATAACATAAAGAATTCAATATATATTTTTTGATTTTTTATATCATCTTACTACTTATTCTTAGGTTGGTTTCGTCGAAAGCTGTTGCCTTATCTTAGCAAAATTATGTTGGGATAAACAAAATAAAAACACAAAATATTATGCAGTGGATCCGATCCAGTGAAACTCATTACTATGCGGGGGTGGACAGTGGGGATACTCTCTCCCACCTCCCACCCTGTAACATCAGCTTTTCTCATAATTTCATAGAAATTGATCCAATAGCCACCCATTTTGGTGGGAATCATACCTCTGGTCTTACATTGATACTATGCATTGTACGCTATGTTTCGGGTTTTTTCGGAATTGTGTTTATTCCAGGGAAATATTCATCAGAGACCATCCCTTTTGTTTTTCTTTTCCATTTATTTATTTTTTATTACTGTTTTAATTTTTTAAATAGTTTTATTTATTTATTCATAAATTTTTAATTTGTTAATTTGAATTTGAATTTTGATTTTTTGTTTTCTAAACTATTTCAATAAATGTTGAATTAAGTGTTTCATGGTAAGAAAGTTTTGTCATAAGAATATCCGTTTACATGTGTGGTTGACGGTCATTAATTAGTTCTGCACGGTTAAATTTTTAGTAGGAACTGTGAGGTTTATACAAATTATTTTATAGCTCGTTTCACTAATTCACCAATGTTTCTATTTCTTTTGAATCCTATTGATAGTTTTTTTTATGGAATCCGGCACCTATTGTAGAATCTGTTTTACTAAGATGCCAGTACTTCCTGAACTTTTTGAAGTTTTTCTGCTTGAGGATGATAATATGTAATGAATGATACATTACATCTATTTTTAACTTTGTTCTTTTTCTTTAATTTGTCTTTTTGTTTATGTTAGAACTAACTAAGTCACCTGTGTCAGAAATGTACGATTTTGTGTTTTTACTAAGGGAAATAAGAAATAATCAAAATATCCTCCTATTCTTTCAAGAGGTCCATTACACGGTGATATACTTGGTTTACCCTGGACATTTATAGTTGCTATTTGATTGTTTTCGTTTTCAATGTTAAGTACTGTCAAGTTTCTGAATTTTAGGGAGGACGTACGCAAAAGGTGTTTTTACATAATTTAGTTAATTTTTAATGTATTTGAAAGATATTTCATCAATACAGTTTTCTTCTTTCATTGTATAAATTACTTCATGTACTTTTTTCTGAGTGTTTCTAAGAATTATCTCTTGTATTTGTTCATAATGTTATCATTTAAATGTTTTTCACCTTCTTTGAGATAGTCGGAAAGATTTTGAATGACTGTTACATTGTTTTTATCCGCTTTGTGAATGATGATATTTTCATCGTGTTTCAGATTCTTGAGGCAGTTTCTTTCTTTTAGTGAAAGGTTAATTTGTTTTTTCGGTATATACCTAGATAATTCCATTTTCAAATAGAAAATTATTCTTTCGTGAATGGATGAATTTAACTCTGTATATTTGGATTTTTAAGGGAAAGTATAACAGTCTCAAGTTCCTTTCAGTTCTTTTGAAAGAAAGGCCAGAGATATGATTCGCACCAAAATGGGTGGATATTGGATCAATTTCTATTAAATTAGGTCAAAAATGTGATTTGCACCAAAATGGGTGGATATTGGGTCAATTTCTAAGAAATTAGGTCAAAAATGTGATTTGCACCAAAATGGGTGGATATTGGATCAATTTCTATCAATTGTGTTTGATTTCAATGATGAATCACAATGATGTTAGATTATGTTAAATGATTTTAAATGCTGTAAAAAGTTAAAGAAAATCAAAGACCAATCTTAAATCATTTATGATCACTTTAAAGGCTATAAAATCGGCTCTTGATTAATTTTACATAGAAACTATTTTTTTTTCTCCCACATTCTTATCTCCCGTCTCCTATCCCCTCTCTCCCACCTCCCAAACCCTTGCCTCCCACCTCTCAGCCCGTTTCTCCCATCTCTCTTTTTAGCTCTCCACCCCTTCTACTATTAGTTTGTTTTCTGCAACACAACAATAGCATGCCCATTGTTACCTTAAATCAATATTGCAATTATTGCAACAAAAACCCTCGATGTGCAATTAAGGTATACATTATCAAGCAACGCCTATTCCCTTTCCAAATGTAACAGAAACATGATGGATGTCCGTGTGTTTAACTTTTCGCATAAAGATGTAGTGACAAGTCAGACGAAAAACCCAGTCCATCTTGATATCTAATAAAGAAATTCAGTAAGATGAGTCATATTAACTTGTATAAAGTAAAATAAAAAAAAAAATACCGAACATCAAGGAAAATTCAAAACAGAAAGTCCCTTATCAAATGGCAAAATCAAAAGGTCAAACACACTAAAAGAACGAAAAACAACTGTTATATTACTGACTTGGTACAAGCATTTCCTTACCTAGAAAATGGTGGATAAAACCTGGTTTAATAGCTAGCTAAACCTCTCCCTTGTATGACAGTCGCTTAAAAAAAATCCACTATATTGACAACAATGTGTGAACAAAACAAACAGACATAATAGTTAAAAAAAAGTCAAAAATAGGGGTACAGCAGTCAATATTTGTGTTATAATTTTAATCACTATACAAACAAACAACTATGCCAACAAAGAAAAACAAAATGACATAGAGACAAAGCACATAAGCAAAAATGAAAGACAAGAATACAAAAAATAACCATAACACAAAAACATCTTGTATCTTGTATCTTTAACTGTTTACTGTTATACATCATTAACTGGTTATACACATAAACAAATGACGTAAAACAGTGAATATTCAAAGAATTAATCTAGCTAGGTGAAGTAAGTATTACCTTTGAAACTGCTGACGCTCTTTTATTTGTATTTTCTTTACAAGAGAACAGCTTCTCTAACTGTGGATAATTTACTGGTACTTTATCTTTCATTTTCTTTATCTTGTTCCAAACACTCTTATCTAAAATTAAAATTGGCTTCTTTTACAGATATATTCTGAGCAAATTAAAACATTTTTTTTATTTACCTCGAAATCTTATCTTCTAAAGTTATCATTTTCAAAACATCTTCCTTGTGAAGGAAATACTAAAATAATAAGACTATGTAATAAAAACGTTATGAAGGTCAAATCGAATTATAAACATTATGTATTCATTTGTTTTCCACATATATTCCACAGAAAAACTGGCTTCATAAAGATAAGATTAGCGATGACTTCGTAGAACCCTCGCAATTTTTTTTTCAAAATGAAGAAACAATGATGTAGTACAAGCTAAATGAATTATTCGATTCTTCTTGATATACCTTTGATTGAGGCGATTCTTGCCCACGACAACGTTTTCATCTTCTGCTTAGGATCTGGTACATTTATAGGTAACGATGGTAAGGATACATTAAAATTCGGCGGTGGTGGAGGCGGTGGAGGTGGGGGTGGGCTCATGCACGTAGCTATTGGTGGTACTGCCTTCACCTCTTCTGGTATCGGATCAAATAATGTTGATTCTTTGTTTGTGTCTGATGAGGTCGTCTCCGACGTTAATTCTGTTAAAGTGGAATCAAATAAAATAACATTGATTTGCAGGTACATGTACAATGTATAGATGTACCGTATAGCGGGTTATTTTCGCGGGTGTAAAATTTCGCGATTTTCATTGAATAAGGTATACGAAATATTTTGGCGATTATTATTTTGGCGGATTCAAAACTTTTCTCAATACCTTTGCATGTGCAATTTTAAATTGGCGGAATTTATTTTGGCGATTTTGTTCTATCCGCGAAATAAAGCGAAAATTTACACCTCGCGAAAATAACCCGCGATACGGTATTATGATATATTATGACTTGTGATTTATGGTATGTTTATGGAAAACAATTCAAGATACATTAACTTTAAAAGTTTACATTCATGAATGTTGACTTTTTTTCGCCGTTTAAGTTCTAAGAGTATACACCAGTATACATTGTAGTCGTGTGATCTTAACACTTATAGATTGCATCCTATGCTCAATCATGACATGTTTGTCTGAGTCCGGATTCGCACCAATAGCAGAAAACTCTTACTCTTGTACCCAACAATCTCGTTCGCTTCGAATTCTGGCAATTTCCTCAGATTTTTTTATCATGATATGTGTATTCCAAATGGATTTACAAGTTTGGAACATATATAACTACTATGGCTGTATATTCACCGCTTTCACTGAGTCTAGATGTCTCATTCTCTGCTTCTATTGAGCGTAGGGAACCATCGTCGACTTCTTCGCTGCTTTTTTCTGTGATAACGCTCATTTCATTTGGCATCCTTCTGTGACAATGAAAAATATTAAAAGTTATATCAAGTGAGAAAAAAATTGTAGTATCCGCAAAACATCCAGAAACATATTTGTTTTTTTTTTCAACTGTTTAACTTGGCGTAACAAAAATGTTTGCAAGTAATACAAGGAATAAAAAGAAGACTTATAATTGAACTTACCAAAATGAAATTTAATTTAAATATTCCGAAGGTAACATCTTATAAACTTAGCTTGCATTATGTCACTTAAAAGAAAACGTGACTTTTGTCGTTATGACCTGAATGTATGTTTGATTTTAAGATAAGCAATGGAATTTCCTTTAGAAAAAATGGAAACAAGTTTATATCTTTCAATGGAGGACTACAATTGATATGAATAAATATTCGCTTAAATATCTTTTCGAATATAGCTGGCTGAAATTAATAGGCGAAAATAATAATAAATTAGAATGAAAAGAAAAAAAAAGTATTTACTGTGATAAATTCGGTACTATTCAGACAATTTGCTTGCCGTTACTTCAGTGCTGTTTATTAGATTTTTAGACATTTCAGTATGTTGTTGATGTGTATATGTAGATAACAACTACTGAACAGGCTGAACATATACTGAACAAATCTTGAATGACTGCAAGCAAATTGTCTGAAAAGAACTGAATTCAACGCAGTGGATAAGTCTGAAAACTTCCTTTAAAACTGATAATTAATTGGTTATGCTTTTAAAAACTGTTTAGATAAAAACGAAAGTTTCAGATCAAATTTGGTGTACTACTAAATTCAAAAATAGTTAATCTACGATTATAGTTTACCTTGTCCCGTCGCCCAATAAGCTTGATAACCCTTATATAATGATTTTAATAAGGTTATCGAAACATGTATAATAAGTAGGTCAGAAAACAAAATCTTAACTCGGACGTAAAACTAATATATGAATGATATGTAAACACGTTAACAAAGCCATTGAATCGCGAAATATGGATTGTATGACCTTCGCAAAACAATATTTACATGCACATCATTTTAAAAGAATTACTGAATCTCTGAATTTATGGTTACTTATATAAAATCCTAAATGATTTGAATGGTACATTTTGTCTGTTAATTTCCAGTTCGTAAACTTACGTTATAAGTTTTAAATTTGGCCTTATTTGTTCTAGTAATGCTCTTTTAATGTTTATAATCTAAAGAGTTTCATATTTTGGCTTCCCAAAGTTTTCGTCTAAAGCGTATCTGATAAAAGAAGTGCGCACATACATTTCATTTTTAACCCAGGACCACAAGTTTTGCTCACCGACATCTTTCATACTGTACTCAAGTTGACAATAGTGGATTAAATCTGGATTTATAGCTAGCTAAACCTTTATCGTGTATGGCTCCATGGTTTTTTTTTATCATTTTTTGTCGCAAATTTGTTAACTTTTGAGTTCGGTTTTTACGGTGATTATAGAACTTTTATAAATAAGAGGAGGAGGATACCAAAGGGACATTTAAACTCATAAGTCAAAAACAAACTGACAACGCCATGGCTAAAAAAGAAAAAGACAAACAACAGTATACAAAACAACATAGAAAACCAAAGACTAAACAACACGAACCCCAATAAACACTGGAGGTGATCTCAGGTGTTCCGGAAAGGTAAACAGATCCTACTCTACATGTGGCACCCGTCGTGTTGCTCATGTAAGTCCAAACCCGGTGATATGTTTAATTCGGTAGGTCACATTTAGGGGAAGGGAACGAAATTGTAGCATGACAACATATCCGTCGTCATCTGTGAAACAGGTATTCTTTAACGGTCAACCAACTCGTGATGGCGTCCGTAAAATTTAGTAAGGGATGATTTCAACTTCACCAATAAGAACTCTTGATTTAAGAGCTTCCTTGTGAGCAGCAACCCTCTATCATGGAAATCATGATAGGAAACACAAGCCCTGGAATATCGTATCAACTGGGATATATATACTTCATATGCAGGCGCTTTTGGAATGTTGCTACATTGAAATGGAAAGTTCACAATTGGGAAGCTGACATCATCTCTTTTGTCGTAAAGTTTTGTTTTCAACCGACCCTCGTTGTCAATTTCTAGATGTAAGTCAAGATATGAGGCAGACTTAACTGTTTCTGTTGTATCCTTTATTTCAAGTTCGATGGGATAGATGCGTTCAACATAGTCACCAAATTTTGATTTATTTAGTGAGACAACATCATCTATAAAGCGGAAAGTGAAATTGAAGGATACTGCTAACTTCTTTTCTTTCTTCCTATGAAGTTCCTGTATGAAGTCAGATTCATATGAATAAAGGAACAAGTCGGCAAGAAGAGTTGGTTCCCATGGGAATGCCGAGTGTTTGTTGAAAAACACGTCCTCCAAACGTAACAATTATGTTATCAATCCAGAAATCAAGCATCTTGATAATGCCAGTTTCAGAGATTTTTTGTTAGAATCAGAGTGATTTTTTACAAAGTAGGATTTATCCCTCCCTAAGACAAGAAACTTGTATTTACGTAAGCCATTCGGTTTTATGAAACAAAGCATGACCAACTCTTTAATTTGTGTTTTCGTTTGGAATGGGGAATACTTGTGTAAAGTGCAGAACAGTCAAATGTTTTAAAACTATTGCAAGATGAAAGAGTCTTAGATTGTTTGTATTCTAAAAGATCTTTGGAATTTTCGGTTTCACGCCACCTCGAATACAGGTAGTTTTACAATAACTTTGAAGCCAGGCTTGGATTGCTGATAAAATAGATGTTTATAATTTAGAAAGAGGTTTCGTGGAGCACCTGGAAGATCCAGCAATATCGCAAGGACGTTAAGGGCGTTTCAAGAAATATCCCATTTTTATACACAGGAAAAATCATATTGAACTCAAAGTTAGTTTTCTTTGCTTAAAGGTTAAAATGCACGTCAAAAGCGTAAACAGAGGGAAAAGGGTCTATTCTGAATCACATTCCAAACTTTTATTTATAGAAAAATATAAATACACTACTGTCACGTGACTTCAAACTGAAAGTAAGGACATTTCCTAAAAAAGTCAAAAGGGCAGGTGCAAGATGAAATCCGATCGCCCTGGTTTTTGGCTCCCTGTAATCAGGAAAACTTATTTTACTGGAAAAGTGCTGTGCCTAGTTTTTAAAAGAGGTGTTGTAAATAAAAAACAATAAAACGTGGAGAATTTTTTCGATTTATTGACTTTTTAGCACTTCTGGTTGTGAAATATCTTTTACACGAACGCTATATAACTAGGCACAGCACTTTTTGAAAAATTTGAAATGTTGCCTTTCTACCAATACCAGAATCAAGTGGGTTGGTATAGCTCTTGCACCTGCCCTTTTCAATTAATTTAGCATGAAGTAGCATCATCGCCTTGAAATGCGAGAGAAAAACGTTTGAATGACCCTGGAGTAGTCGGATCGGCTGACGGAAAAACTCAGTGTATTTTTTGTACTCACCGTGAAGCGTTTCATATAATAATAACGTCATGTTGGAGCGAATAAACAAATATTCTCTTATTGCTTGCTTAATTTATTAAAGCTTCCTATTCAGTATTGGGTTTTTTTTCAGGGAATTTTCAGTGACAGGCCGGACTTTCATAAAATAGAATATTTACATCTTCTTGCATTCCGCCTCTTGTGTATATCACCGCAAATGGCTGAAATGGCAGAGACGGATTCATGTGGGCTCTGATCCCTTGTGTATCAACCAATTTATGGCTAATGTATACACTTCTTATATGTCCATAACTTCGATTAGTGTTGGGACACGCAGCCCCCCCCCCCTTTTTTGTCAAAATCCGGAATCCGCATCTGGGTTCATAGTGCAGTTCTCATTTTTGCAAATGCAAGTTCATTGTATAATTAATAGTATACTATAAAGTCTCTTCTAGTGTTTGCATATTGGGAACCATTAAAATTTTAATGAAAAAAGTTGCATGTTCATACAGAACTTTATACCAAAATTCATGATTTTTTGGTTTGCTCTTTGTCATTGACAATGTTTAAATCATAAATATTAACTCCTACCTGCATATAAATATTCACATTTTACTAGTTGAATATCTCCTGTATCTCAAGTGTGACTGGTATCAATTTGTAAATCATGATTGGGAGGTCTTTTTGAATTTTATTTTGGTGGGGTAGAGTAATTTTTTTGCCAATGAATGAATATGAATTTTCACCAGTTACCAGGCCAGTATTTTGTATGGCTTGCTTTTTTTTATAAAAAAAGCTACGGCATTGAGTACCCCATACTTCAAAAAAATGTACCTTGAGCTCTCATTATTTATGCTTACACTATATCATAAAGCGATAACCAGTTCGACAAATATCGGATGCATATATATACACGACTAATTTTAATCGCATCTGTATAAAAAACCCACATCCAATTAGTTTCAGATACATGTACATGTACCTATGATTCAATCAACAACCTTGTCATATATATCATCTCAATTTCTCAACCTTATAGTTTATATTTAATTTTATACCATGAAGTTGGAAATAGTGACCTATTTTTTTCTGCTGCTCATTTCATATTAAATCCCTGCCTACCAGTGTTCACCAATACAAATGGACAGCCAAAAGTGCTAACATGACATTCAGCACAATCAATCACCTGTTTTTTCATTATCAAGTGCCATAATATTTTAAGGTTCACCTCAAACATGTCAAAATCAGAAAACTTATTTCCCATCACCTGCTGAGATTGGAGGCAACTGAATGGTATTTCTTTTCTGTCAGAATAAAAGAAATTCTATGTACCATATATAATAAAAATACACAGAAATGACTAACTCAATCACAATTAATACATATATACACAATCCAAAAGTTTCAGGAAGTGTCAGGTGAATTAATCATGACATAGTGGACAGGACAAACTAGTCAGCATGGAAATTAAAATGATGTGTAAATGCTTATAAAACTACTGCCTACAAATATCATTGACAAGGGTACAATCAGTGGTTAATATTTACCTGAACCAGTCACAAGAGTAAAAAAATTACTTAATTGTA